GTGGGCCGCACGCCGGCACGGACACGCGGCTCATCGTCAAGCTCAAGCCGCCCGTGGAACTGCTGCGCACCGTGCTCAAGTCGGACCGGCAGTTCCACAACGAGATACACGCGTACCAGAACGTGGTGCCGTTCCTGTTCGAACACCTGCCCGAGGGGGCCCGCGGTCCCGCGCTGCCCGTGTTCGTGTACGGCCGCAACGAGTGCGGCGCCCGTTGGTCGGAGGACGTCATCGTGCTGGAAGACCCGCGCGGCCACGGGTACGTGCCCGCCCGCTCCCCGGAATACGGCGGCGGCGGCTGCGGTAGCGCGCACATGGACTACGGGCACCTGGCCGTGGCCATCGCCGCGCTCGGCCGGTTCCACGGCATGTCGTTCACCGCCAAGCAGAAGAACCCCGTGGCGTTCCGCAAGCTGGTGGGCAACCTGCGCGAGATCCAGTGGGACGAGGACGGCTGGCTGGTCAAGGGCAACGGGCTCAAGTCGATGAGCATGCGCGGCGCCCGGCCGCTGATGGACCAGGAAAAGTATCGGGACGGCAAGCTCAAGGGGTTCCTAAGCATGATCCGGGAGGCGGACCGCAACCTCAAGCTGGCGATGACGCCCAAAGAACCGTTCGCGGTCATATGCCACGGCGACTACTGCAAGCCCAACATACTGTTCGAGTACGACGACGCCGGACAGCCAAGGGACGCCATGATCACCGAGTTCACAGCCGTCAGGTGACTATTACGCGCGCACCACGCAACCGTTATGTTTTTTTAACATCATTCTTTGTCTTTGACTTTTGGCTTGAATCTCCCGCAGCGAAAATCAAAATCCACAAGACTCTATCAAACGGGTTTTAGCTATCCACCCAGAGGCGGTTTGAATGTATTTTACTTAGTGGTACAAGACAATATATAGACATCCCCACCCCGGTCAGAATAGAAATCACAAATAAATATTTTTTAATAAGTTTATAGTTTGTAATTATAAGGCCCTTATATTCTTGACTCGACGCTTTCAACAGTTTCAGCCACGATTATCATTTATCATATGTCATTGATTAGGTACTTTATTACTTTTTTCATTTATTGAACATTAAAATATTAAACATTGCGGTCAGTACATGCTCAACCAAGACCACCCCCACCCCCTAACATTGTTGTGTCCCACCCATACTCTCACCTGTAAACTATAGCTACCCCGTCCATATATATTATAATAATATGGGTTAAGATTGTTCGAGAATTTCGATGGGATTTCCAACGTATACATCAAACTAGACCAATCGTTATTTCAATATTTTTATAATTCACTATTATTATTTTTTGTGTGTTTTCAAATCAAACTATTGCGTTTTACTTTATTCCACTCGGCGGTAAACATCAAATCGTATATTTTTATTGTAATATCATAATTATTATTATGCGACAGCGATTAATCGTAGGTCGTTGTGAGACGAAATTAATTTCATCACGGTCGATAAAAAAATATATTATTTACGTTAACTATTTCAAAAATCGTAATTAAAATTCCCTAAAAGTATATGTATCTACAGTCAATACTCTCTAGAACGTACGTTGCGTGTAATATATGAAATATATATAGTTTTTATATTTGTACAGTGCGCACCGATAGCACGCGTTTCAAGACTTTCGGCGTCATATTTGATTACCTTCGAGCGTACAGCAACTGCCTGCAGTATAATCAATTTGGTTAAATTTTTTATTTTTTTATATAGCAATACCGAAACTTATTTATATGATAATATATAATATTGTGCATGTCGTGCAGTACCGCAAAACACTGCAGTGGAAGATGTCGCGCGATTGAAATAGAGAATTTTTCCAACGGATAAGCCTATAGAGATTTACAATATAGGAAGCATATCAAAAAGAAAAGGATAGAAAAAAGACGGTTTTAAGCCCCATGTAAATCGTATTTTATGTAACTTAATCAGCCCGGTTATTTTATTTCGACACACAATGGAACAACCAAAAAGCTTATTTAATTCAAATACAACAGAGGCCGATTTTTCTCTCTCTCCCTCTGAAATTAGATGGTCTCTCTTTTCTCTTTTTTTTTAACTACACGTTTTTAACATAACATTAAACTTAATGTTAAAACAATTGTTCGCATACACACGTCAATCATGTTTTATAAACGAATTATGCTATTAATCTACATAATATTAATACAGTAAATACGCACAGCAATAAAATAACCATAAACTAAATATAATATTGTTTGGTATAGTGATATTTGGGATTACACTGTACACAATACAATTTAATTGTTACGTTTGAATAATTAAATTGGCCTTTTTATATGTTTAAATATTATCGATTATTGCAGCTGCGTGGTTAGTAATAATACGTTTATATGACGACTATGAGAAATTAATTTAATATACCTAGTAAATGTATATTTAACATGCATCGAGAATAGTAATTATTTAATTTTTGTGCAGCTATTCAAATTTAATTTACATATTATGTTACATTGATAGTACTGTTGTGTGGTGTTATCAAATCGGTCGCTTGTAATGTTTTTTTAAAAACAGTTTTAGGAATGCGTAACGTAATGGCAAAGTAAATTCATATAGTTTTATCATAGCAATTGAATTTTTGAACTTGAAATAGGATAAATACAATGTTTAGAGTAGACATAAATCAACGTTTAACAAACCATTTAATTTAGCATCAGCTCTATACTGGTGTTATTAACTAAGATTAAAAAATACCTACGTTGGTTGTACGAAATAAGTATTGACACAAGTTTTACATTTACCGATGAAAACTCTATTATTTATCTAAAACCATGAATCATTTTATTGTATAAATAGGTATTTTATTATTAACAAATAATGTTTACCCAAACAAAGTCACACTAACATATTATGAGAATCAAAGAAACACGCCCTTACCAAGTCCATATTATAGTCTAATAATAATTCCCAAGATCGATTAATCTTCACACAATCGATGAATCGAGTTTATCTTTGTACGAAAAAAAAAAATGCAAGCATAAACGTTCGCGACAGGACATTAATCAGCTCCGCCCTTGAATTTGTCCACCGTTCCCCAAATATTTTTGATAGACCATTATACTGTAATATTATGTACCTATACACAAACATATGTTATGGRTGTAACCCGAAACACCCTTCGAATGCGAAGAAAAGATAAGACATCCCAGGCGTTAAATCGTGCACAACGTTTATTCGATAAATCAATTTTTACAGTGTGGATTGGCATGGGACTGTGCCAAAAAACACACAGGAACATAATAATAATAACAATAATAATATATCGTACAATGATATTCACACCAAGGGTACAGTTTGATTTTTTATTTTATACAACGTTATGAATCATAGTGTTAGAGCTCCATGGAGGTCAGATAATATATTACTGTAATAATATTTTTATTTTTTTTACTGATAAAAGGAACACGCTCCCTTCTCAGTAGACACTGTGACATTTCTTTAGATACAATTTTCATCGTTAAAATATTTTGTGGATATTCGAATTTATTTAAATGTAAAACCTTCACAGAAATAAATAAACGTCTATTGTATTTATTGTGTTTTATAAGTTTAATTTTAGTACAAGTTCTTACTTGTATTCATATAATTTTAACATTGCGCGTGTACAAACATAAGTAATTGAATACTCCAAATAATATTTTCTGAGTTAGTGCATCGTCGACCATAGACTTCAGTCTCAAATAATTGATGTAACTTGAAGTCTGCAGCATCAATTTCATCAATCAATTGTGTGTTATACATTATTTGTATTGTTTGTGTGCAATATCCATTTATTTATTGTGTACCTATGTTTTGAGTAATACCTACCGACAAATAAAATATTTCATACATTTTTTCAAAGTCGTTCAGTTGGTTGTAAAACTTTAAATACAATGACACAAAAAATAAATATACGTACGCATTTTTTTTTTGTCATTATGCAAATTTAATTTGAGTTAGATACCTATTATATTACCATTATCTATACTGTGGTTAAAAGTAGTAAATTTATTTATTTACTATTTACCCGATTGTGTAATACAACATTACCACAATACCATGTAAAAAGTCTTCATTATTATACTTAATATAATATTAGTTCCGGTTAAGTATTAATATTTCAACATCGATTTAATTCGAAAGCAYATAATATTTTTATCATTATAATAATTAATTAATTGAAAAACCAACGAAATGTTTTARTATTTTGTTATAATTTAGTTATGAGTGCATTTACTATTATATAGTACGTTAAGAGCGAAAACTCAAACAATTAAGTATACAATAATGACCATTATTATGACTTTTTTTATTTGATGATGAAAACCATAAAAAGGGTTACTATATTGTTTTTTTATGAGCGTATTGTGATAACCATCAATTTATGCTGATGTTTATGACGGTCAGATGRGCACATTAAAAATTACGATTTTGWGGGGAATTTTAYTAACGCAAAAATCAAATTACTTTTTTATTTGTTTCTAAATGGCACATAATATTAGTATATAATTATTAATATGATAATTATATTATTATAGGTAGTAGGTACACTAAAATTAACCGAAATAAAATTGTGTGAAAACGCTTATAATGGTTAGGTTATAGGAGGTTATATTATAAATCAACTCTAAGGGTTAGAGTTAATTATAACAATGTATTGTTATTACTTTTATAAGTGTTTTATCCAAATGTAATTTTCTTCCCATTGTTTTTTTCATTTTTACTTTCTACAAATATTTAAATTTGCTAAGCCTAAAGGTGGATCTGTTAAGCTTTAACATATTTTGAATTGGCTTCTACCTGTTTTATAGAYAAACAAATAATTCACTATATGATCTGAAAATATGTTCTAAAAAAAAAAAAACTGACATTTCGGAGGGGGTGTATGGTCTATAGCTGAGTAGGTACCAATTATTTTTGTAAAACTTATCACATCTATATATTCTGTTTAAAGAACTAAATAATATGCCTTATTTATACATAATATTATGCGATGCTGAAAAACTATTAGATTCTTAACTAGCTTTAGGATTTCTAGCCAACTAAACCTACCATTAATTTGCTCTAATATAGAGATTAAGATGTTTCATTATATTTTATTCTATGAGACAAATAATTCTTGAAGAACATATTTTTTTCACTYGACCCGTATACATGATATATCATACCTTTTTGCGTGACTTATATTATGAAGAGCACGACTTCTCGAAAGAAGTCAGTAAGTCGGGGTGGCTAAGGAGCGGTATGGAGGAATTAAAATCTTAAGCCCGGCGTTGATGACGCTACATGATGGCCTACGGATAGAGTTAATGCGTTTTATAATGGAAAACCGTAATTTTTCCTATAAGACCGGGAAGCAAGGCTTTAGTGGAATTATAGAGGGGAAATAAAACAAAACCAGACCAAACATGAATTGTACATCTCGACATTTTTATAATAAGCGTACAGCGCCTTAACGGGGGTTATCGTTGCGCAGTGTAATACACTAATACTGTGGTAAATATTTATTTTGATGGATAATATACTTGTATTTCGGTTTTTACACATTCAACAGGTACGGTTCACCCGGACTAGACTTGTCGTACTTCCTGTACAAGAACGCGGACAAAGACGTGCAGGACAACCGGTGGGAAGACCTGTTGGCCGTGTACTTGGAATCCGTGGCGGCCGTGCTGCCGGCAGACGTCATGGCGCCCACCGCAGAGCAGCTGCACCACGAGCTCAGGTTCCACGCGCTATATGGTTACGCGCACCTGTTGTTCGCCGTGCCGAACATGATCAACGACAACCCACGTGGCCTGTTGGACATCGACAACGACGACGACAAGACAACCGTCGAAGACCTTCTGGTAGCCCGGATCGACGCGGCCGACGAGAAAATCAACGAAATCCTTTCCGGTACCGTCCGACACATCATCGACCACGGTTACGCAGAACAATACGAGTTTTCGAGCAATTCCCGTATATAGGACGAAAATCCAAATGGAATGTGGAGTTCCTCCACCACTCCACATTTTCACGTCAGTTTTGACGTTATGTATATAATATAATATAATATTATTATTAAGGTTATTCAATTTATTTTATTTTATTTTTTGCTTATTGGAACTTAGCTTTCCTAACAGAAAGTATATAACGAAGAATTCAATTTCGAATTTTTAATTTTATAGGTCATTGTTTTGTTATCTTATTGTATTCCATGATGATATTTTTATAAATTTCTTTCAATTCTCTTGTTTTAATCACACGTTATGAATTATTATCAATTTATTACATGTGCCGCACTTATATTAATTAAATTATATATAAGACCGAATAATTAATATGGCGTATAAAGGGGAATTTGTTTTTAGCTTTTTGTAAAACAAATGAGGTTTCTTAACTGAAAGTTTGTAACAACAAACTTTATTTTTATTTTTTGTTTCTGTTTTAATTCATCTACATCAGTCGTTTTTCTTTCCTTTTTGTTGTATTTCAAAATGACATTTTGCGATATTAATTGTATTTAATAAATATTTATAGTGCATTCACAGTCCTAATTATTATTATTTTATCAGACCTGAGCAATATTTTCCAGGTACGAAATCGTTTCCTTTTGTTTTTCGTGATATTCAATTCATGAAATACGTTTCGACCTTACCGCCTTCATAATGTTATCACCTTCTCAGACTGTTTTATGTGAGCTTACCGATGCGTTAATTATTCAGCTTTAGCCGGAACTTTTGTAAAATTATCGTCACTTGCCAGTCGGTGCCTACGTATTAGATTATGGCGACTGCGTTGTTTCTTCTAGACTGTATGAAGTTCACGTCTATAAATATTGTCCCTCGTCTCATCCCGTATAATTGGATATGATTATACTACGATTGGTTTTTGTCCAATCGCGTGCAAATAATTCAATATTTTAATGTTTACCAGAGATAGAAAATAATAATAATAATAAAAAAAAACCTTCTCAATTCAATTAACCTGTAAATTATAATACAAAAATATTCGTACTGCTATTGTTTATTCGGTGTAGGATGGAATGGGGGGGGGGAAATACAAACATAAAACAATTTTTCTTCTGGAGCCCATTCTCTCACACTGCATTATTATTTACCGTTCGATATCGTGGAAAAACCGTGCTTCCCTCCCTTCCAGACTCCCCGCCACCATACCCAAACATCGTAGTGGTCCCGATACCATTTGCCCGAATGGATTTTCAGCCATATCCGATTTTAACTGCGCCCTGGCGGCCAATAAATCTGAATTTAACCGTAGTCCGCGCGCATAAAACATTTGTCGTTGCCGCCGGCTAAACGCGCATTAACAACCCTTCACCTCCGCCGCATGGGCCGTAAGTAAATCGTAGTATACCACGGTAACCACCACCGCCACCATGCGACACCCCCGTCGTAACCACTGTCGTCCTGTCGCCGATCCGCGTCCTTTCCGCCTACATTACGCGTACGCGTGTCCTTTTACCTCCATGATGGCGCGACAGGACGGCGGCACCAGGACACCACTAGGTGTCGACCCATCGGGTATATTATAATAATTTAACCTGATATGGTTAACAGATGTCGATCGCTGTGCTTCACGTGTGTACATGTGCTTGTTGGAGTGTGTGTGTGTGTGTATCTTATCGACAACCCGACAGGAGGCTAACAGGATTATATTATTATTGTAATGTTATATAGCATTATACGTACGTCGGAAAGTGAAAATAAATTTAAGCCGCAGTTTGTTTAAAGTTTTTTTTTCAAATGGAAAAAAATACGAGAGAAACGGAAAGTCGATTTTCATTCGCTAATTGCCTCATAACTCAAAACGACAGTATTTTTTCCGATACGCATTTTGTATAGGACTGGCAATTTTTCAGACAAAATCAGAACGGTATTATTATAAAATTATTTTCTTATTTCAGAAAGTCACTCCTAATGTAATTAGTTTTTGACGTTCATCGATTTTTCAAGAAATATATTTCCTTTGTTACCATTTTTTTTTTTTTTTTCATAAAAATATCCAACTATATGCCTAGTGAGAATTCAACATTTTAAAGATCGCTATACTTATAAGAAAATAGCAGTTTAATATACTGAATCGTCATTACTGAATTTTTGTTTTTCAATTTGTCTGTGTGTTATAATGTCTGTAATATTATAATGCAAATGTTAAAATAATAAACTATAGTTTTTAGTCACTTAAGCATTTATTAACTGAACCTTTCGTTCCGTTAAAATGTCATAAGAATTACAAGAGCAAAAAGACGTTGAAGTGACAAGCAGATGGAGGATTATAGATATTGATTATTATATCATCAAACTGGTCTTTCTATATTTTTTAGATGTTTAGATGCAAATGTTAATTTAGTGTATTAAATAAGCATTGGTCAAATAATTAAAATAGTAAGTAAATACAAGTTCGAATAGTAAGTAAGTATATTAGTAATATAATTAAGTATAATTAACAATATTAATCTCATTTTTAATTTAATATTCTAGATTAATTTATGTTAATTAGGAGTAATTATAATGGAAATTAAAAAAAAATTAACATATATACAAATCATATTACAATTGTCCCTTCAAGATTAAAAACTATAAGTATAAAAATATAATATACCATAAGCTAACTACAATCAAAAAAAATTATTACAGAATGCAAAGACACACAAGAGGCCTGTTAAATATTTGACATACCCGAGCACCTTCACGATGCACTGGGCACCAACTCAGATTCCATTAAAAATGTATAACCTTAAAAATTATATTAAATTGTAAACTTTAGTCTAAGTCATTAAAATATGTAATACAGTTGTACAAGTTTATACAAGCTGTAATTAAATCTTCAACTTAAATAAAAAAAAAAAAAAAAAAAAAAATAGAATAGTAATGTATTTATTTATAAAAATAATAATATAATTACGAGGCTTTAAAAACTTGGTTTGATTGTGTATTCCTTGCAAGCATTATAAATATGTAATTTTTAGTATAATATGTAGGTAGGTATATTGATTTTCGTGGTTTTAGCTAAATGTCAATTTTCGGATTTAATTTGCCGTTCACTTTATTTTTTTGCGCCAATAATAACCTGTTAGAAAAGTGCATCGTATTTTAGATGGTTTTTGAGGGGTTCGACTGGAATAATTTAAGTGCAAACAGGGAGTACAACAGCTGGGGACATCCACAGAAATACGTATAATGTGGTTTTTGCGGCATAGTGTAATCGTAATTGAAAAATAAACGAACACCACGAAATACTGTCTGTGTTGATTTCAATTTAAATTGAACTCTATTCAAAAAAATCTATTAATTTTCAATTCGTGAAATTAACATAATATAAATACTTTCACAAAATGCATAGCGTATAGGTAGTAAAGCCCTTTTGTAACTTGATTAAAAGAAAATACATTTACGTATACACTTTTGAAAACATGATGTATAGAATTAATAAGCCAATGAATATTTAAATTATTGTTTATTTTTAATCCAAATACTATGTTCAAGAATAGTAATTATATTAAAATATTATTTATAAGTTATACAAAAAAATTAATTTATGTTTACATTGTGTAGGTAAAAATTATATTATTGAAAGGTGATTCAATGATATATTATGAAAATATAGTTTGAGATAACTCTCAAAACTTAGCTCAAATTGATTTAATAAGAAAAATATATTTTTTGTGAACCAAAATAATAATATAAACCACAAAAATACAACATACCTGAGCAACTTCACGATGCACTGGGCCCAAACGAAGACGGAAGAATATTATTATTTATGAAAAATATTCATTGTTCAATCTAGTTTAAAATATTTTAGAACCATATTATGTTAAAAAGCCAATGGTCATGTTATCGAGGCTTCCTTCTTATAAATAAATAATAATAATATAAGTCCATACAGCAATATAAGCCATGTTATTTAAATAAAGATTATTTTTGTATAACTATACACTGAAACCTTGGGCACAACTAGATCTTACATTTTTTAATGCTAAAATTATAAAAAAAAATTACGATATAAATATTTCCCTATTATTTTATTGATTATATATTTCTTTAATAATAATCAATTCCTCAATAAAAGATTATTAATGAGTATATTTCTACATCTATGTAATTATCCTATCTTCAGTAGCAAATGTATTAATGATTATCCATTAATATCGTTTTTCCAAGTTTTAATTCATTACATTTCAGAAATTATTACACTAGGTAGTATTAGCATTAATCAAGCTATTTGGAGATGTTACCAAACTATTTTAAGATACTAAAGCAATATTTAGCCCTCATCTAGTTACACCTAAGGCTGAAACATGCATACAAGTAGAAAATAAAATTTAAAATTTAATAATAAGAAGTGGAATAATTTAAAAATTTTAAATTTTAAATAACAATAAATTATGTACCCATATTGATACATTATTATTTTATTAACAGTATAACACATTAATTGTATATAAATATACATTCAATCAACTTGTTTCTTCATATTTTCTTTCATGGACACCGTTGCTATAATTCTCATTAGCTGTCACCAAAAATGTATCATTTATAAACGACTGAATTTTACTAGTCATATTGAAACTCAGCCACAAAAACATTTTAAATTTAATGAGTTATATCTGCAGTTTCTTTAACAATCAGTATGAAAGTATAACAGTTTGAAAAAGTGTCTTAAACTCAATTGAAACATTTGTTCTGAGAATTTTTATTTATTAAATAGCTTAAAATAAGTTGGTAGCAAAATTAATGTTAAAATTATACTATAGTACTATTATTATTATTATTATATGTAATCACGTTATATGTGTCTAAATAAGTTATTGAGTTAAGCGGTATTTTTTGTAACTTGATAGTACATACTATTAAAATTTAAAGTAGCGTTTTCCAGACGATTACATCGATGGTTATAATCGTATCTCAATAACATGGCAGTATTCAAACCTTTATGTTTTAAAACAAAGAACCGAAAATAAAACAAATTAAGCATATTATGTAATTTGCTTAAGGGGTCGCTCTTTCTCACTCTTAAACCACCCCCGATTATCCGTATTTACCAGCGGACGTATTTAAATGGCCCCGCATGACCTATTCGGTGAATTAACCGCTTTTACAAACAGTGAGAGACGTCGACGAGAGGGGACAGTGAGTTTGTCGGGCCCGCGGGCATCGTAATTTTGTGGCACGCGAGCAAACAGTATACCCGGAAACAAAAGCAAAAAACTTCCGAAAAAAAAAAAAATAAATTTACAAAACGAAAAGTCTAAAGATAAAAGTGGGCTTATATTGAAGGGAAATTAAAGACGTCTACAGGCATTGAGTTTTTTCGACGTATTTTTATATTGAAAAAAACCCTTTCCCCGCTCAATGCACGTGTTCAAAGAGATAGCGACCCCGTCGCCGGAACAATAATTCACTGGAGGATCCATAAAGATTAAAAATCATCCCGTTCGTTCCTATTTTAATTGCTACTGGAGGTCTGCATTGGAATAAAATTGTTATCTCTACTACGCAACCCACCTCATATATTATACACCATTTTCTCTTTTGGTCAATAAACGTCGTTCACGTTCCCGCCCCAATGATAATAATATGTTTCGTAGGAATAATGTTCCATTGGCTATTAGAATGTTAGGGGGAGATGGGAGGTGAAAAACAAAGTTACGGTTTAATTATATTGATAGGTACATAGGTTTTATTTAACGAATAAAATTCAAATTGTTTATTTTATTTACTCAGCGTTGTAAAAAAAACAATCAGTTAATTACATAAAAACCATCCGTGCTTTAATAAAAGTCCATTTTTTGAACCATAATAAATAAAAAAAGAAATTAATTATTAAAAATTAATATTATATTATAACGTAGGTATATAATTCAACTTTTCTATGATAATTATTAAAATCGTTTTTTATTACATGTGCAATGTGTTACTTAACTACCTAAGTTAATACACGAACAGCTAATTTATTGTTATTAAACTCTAAATCAATGTTTAATTCTAAAAAAAAAAGATTTAAATGTATTTTAGAAAAAAATTCTATTAAAAGATCAAAGAAATATTATAGATAAATTATTTATAGTTGCGTATTATATAGTAGAATTTTGAGTATCAATAATTTTAAATCTTGTATTTTATAATCTATGAAATTTTCCAAAAAGCTTTCAGAGAAAAATAGATAGAGTTTTTTTTTGTAAATTATAAAAACATGAATTTATCATCCATAAATATTTAAGCTATAATAAACAAAAAATAAATCATTTAATAATGCAATAAAGGAAAAATGTTTTCAAGTTCCACGTGATACTTGGTAGTATTATTATTATTATTATTCTGAAAGTATTCCTGCTATATATATTATTATATAAACATATAACTATATTATATGAAGGGTAAAAAAAATGGTCCACAGCTTATTATTTGTCCAATTTACTTTGTGAAAATATCTAAGCCGAAATGATCCCACTGTGCCGAGAACCCTTCGGCATAGTAAATAAAAGTACATGGTTCTTGATATAATATTCATGTTAAGTCATCATATCAGATTACTATTTTAAACATTTATATTTTAAGCAACGCAATAATAATAATATGGAGTTTTTTCGTTGATGTTACTCATAATATGAGAAATAGTTACACATTTTATTTTAGTCATAAGGAATGAATAATAATTTTTAAAATTACGTATTAAAATAACTATAGGTACTATGGGTACCTAACTTTATTTACAACTTTTTATCAAACGTTTAATAAAAAAATTTTAAATTTGATATAATTCATAAATTTTTTGATAACAATAAACAATTAGGAATTATCTCGTTTCGAGTAATTCTGCAAACATATTCCTCGAAAACAAATTCAAGTTTGTTCACTTTTTGATGTGCGTAAACATTAACACGCACCTCCTTCGCTTTAACAATATTTTATGGTTGTTGTGATTTTTCTGTAAACAAACGATTATGCGTCTCGGTAACGGAAAATAGTTTC